TTGTAGTGTATTTTGTCACAGAATGTCAAAGGATAAGTTTGTTAGTTTCATATTGTGTATTGGCGATTATGTGAACAAAAGGACCAACTTGAACAATTATAAAAGTTTAGGGACCGAATTGTAAAGTTTCATAGTTGGTTGGATAGCGTAGGGTTCGTAGTTCAATGTTTGGAACAATAAGGAATCGCGTCGATTTTTTGCTAGCTGCTCGTCGGAGTGCTGCTCGAGCTGAAGAATCAAAGACTGCCTCGCTCGACTTTCGCCCCACTGTCACTCGAGTGATAGACCCTTCGCTCGAACGAGAAGGCTACTTCGCTCGAGCGACGTTCGCCTGGAGTTTTTCCCATGTTGGGTTTCTCCGTGAACAACTCTAGTGTTGTTTACTACTTTTTATTGCTTTGATTTAACTGCATATCTTTGATATGCTAAATTGAATTGTATGAATAATCACCTAGACATAATTATCATGTGACTTGTTGTTTGTTAATTAATTTGATAATTCCGCATTTACACCTACTCACTCCCCTCTAGGTGTAGTTGGGTCGAATCTTGCGTTTCTCACATTTGACAAAAAATAACTCAATATTCCTATTTGGCCAACAGTCAACCATGCTTCTCCTATGGAAAAAATTAATTTTATAACACTAGATTTTAAGTAATGATGCGTTTGAACCATGAGTTTCTGCTAGTTTTCAAGTTCAATCATGTGATGAAATATAACTTGTGTTTGGTAGCAAGTTATTGGGGTATTGGAATTAATTAGAACGAGAAACAATTCCATTCAAAAATAAATTTTCTTTTCATGAAATATAATACCATACCACCTACCAATCATTGGGTGAACATAGAAACGACTGCGTTGTAGAATGCATCTTCTATGAAATTTCAATTTTGAGTTCAGTAATTAAATATGGTTGAAGCCAACTAGAGAAAGAGGTGTGGGGTGCAGCCAATTCTCACTTGAGCGAGAAGTTTTCTGTATGAGCAAGGAGGGAGGGACTTGAGTTCACATTCGATTTTTTTTCCTTGAGCTCGTTTGATCTTAGGAATAAGCTCTAATGTTTATTTGTTAGCTCATTGTGCTTAATAAAGCTTGCAATCTAAGGATGCGACATGGAACTTTTAGTGGTCTAGCTCAATATTTATAAACTCAACAAACTTCAACCATTGAAGTTTGAATTAGAATCGTCCAAGAAGCAACAATCTGTTGCTCAATCTTCAGTTGAAGCATAGTACATATAAGCCTCAACAGCAACTTCACATGCAATTTGAAGGGTTAATTTCCTAATTGGTCACTAAACTTTGCCAAAGGTTCCCTCGAGATCACTGAACTTCAAGACTTCCTAGGTAGTCACAGAACTTTACAAATCGAGGCATCATCCATCACTAACCTAACATCGGTTGCAAAATCAAACGATTTTGATGACATGCCAAACGGAGCAAGTGACGTAGCACGTTTGTGTACAATTTGTTAGCCAAATAAGCAAATTGCTGATGAGGTGGATAACTTCTACAAAGTTGAGTGACTACCTAGGAAACCTTTGGCAAAGCTAAGTGATCAGTTGGGGAAATTGTATGTTTTAAAAGACTAGTCAATTTATAAAATTGATACAACTATTCAAATGAACATGACTCAAGAAGCATAACCATTAGGACACGAACTATAAAAAATTATGAAAAGAATCCGTAGGTAATACTTCAACACGCACATAAGGTACAAAAGGTTAAAAGCCTATTGAGTCACCATTCTCCATAATATATAATTTTCAATTTGCCTCAACAGGTTAAATTATTTTGTCCATGTTAACTTGAAAGCATGATAGATAAATCTTTGGAATTTACATGCCATTAATTGGAAACGCTTAGACACACAACCTCATAGAGCTCTCACGTACTCTCTCAAGCCAACATGCGGACCTTGTATCTATACTAATTTATGAATACTCTATTTTGTAATCTATTCAATAGCCTAAAAGGCTGAAAGCGTATCTGAATATGCATAAATCCCCCAATCCATACACTTCCTAAGATACACTCCAATAGATTTATGCGTCAAGTGATGCGTCAAATTTCCTTTGTAGTTGATGCAAACATTTGGATTTGTGTTGAAATCTCGTCCATACATGTTGTGGAGTCAGGAATGGTTCTTCGATAAAACGCCTGCTGCACCAGCATATCTATTCATACCTTTGAGAAAGTCTTCTTGGCTAGGAAAGTGCCCTAGAGTGAATATTAATAATACTATTTGGTAATTTAGTCCCTTATTCACGTGCACTAGTCATTGGGTACATCCTGGATGTAGGTTAACGTTACAAACTGAAAGAAGAGGGGATCACATGTTCTCTCACCCCACCCCACACTAGAAAATACACACAAAAAAA